TAGATGTGTCAGAAGACATATATGCTTATCTATTTCTACTTGACTGAAAATACCTTGATTCATATCTTCTATTTCTTAATCCAATACCATCTTGAACTACAACTTTTAAATAGGGATTCCAATGAGGTAGGCCCTGCCCATCCCCCACTCTGTCGAGTGTTTTGGGGATCCAAGACTATGGCGAGAACGTTCATTTATAATCATGTTTATTAAATTTTTTAATTTTTTTAAAAAAATCTGATATAAATTTTAAAGTATAAAATAATAAAAAATAAAAACCGGGCTAGGTTTGGGATCACGTAAGGACCATATCCCTTCTCTCCTCCCTTTACCCAGCAGGTCAAGGAGGGACATGCCATTTTCTCATTCTTAGTTTAAAACTTTAAGTTATTGGAAAGACAAAAATTTTATTTATTTATATTTTAACTTTAAAGATGATATATCGTCGCACATGGCTAAAAAAACATGATACACGAGCCATTAACTCTAAATGCTTCTACAATTTTTTTAATTAGCTATCAGGCGGCAGAACCTGTCTAATGGTTAGCTATATAGTCTAGATAGCTATACGAACCTGGGTGCCACACCCTTTCTTGTCATAAACTATCTAAATAGAAAATAATCCAAATTTATGTCAGATAATTAATTATTTAATTAACGAGTTAACTAATTATTCTAATTAGACCAGCTTAAATTTAAAAAGCAAAACGTATTCCTTGACCAGCTTAAATACAAATTAGTGGGCTTACCACTGGCCCCCAGGGCATATCTCCCAGTGGCAAAGGGGAGGGTGGATAGGGTTCAGCGCTGCAGTGTGAAGAGTTCGATTCCCCGCAAGGTGGAATTAGCTTTGTTGCAAGCGGGAGTTATCATATGGGTTAACAGCTTTGGCCTATCCATATGCTCTCCACCCTGACTCCTGGAAGGCACATCCTGCGATTTATCTCCTCCACGATGACCCAGGGCAGGGTCTGTGGGGGCCCTTAAGGTTGGGGTTCAACCTTTTTAGTGGGCCTTACCACTGTGGAGGAAAAAAATAATAATAATAATAATAATAAACTAATAAATCAGTTGTGCAAAAGACATAAGTAAGGTAGTCTCAATCTTGCTGACAGTGGCAGTATGAGAATTCGATTCCTGAAATATGAAATTGAACTCTTTGTGGGACCAGTGTATGAGCAAGCTCTGGTTCCCTGACCTACTGGGACGCATCTTGCGATTTACCTCCTTATTATAAGGTAAGAACTTTGACTCCAAACCCTAAGTGCGGATACGAAATTGATGTAAGGAATTGTTATAAGGTAAGAATTTTGACTCCACACCCTAACGACGTCCAATTTTGTTGGGGGGTGTGTGTGTATTAATTAAATTTTACATTTTTAAGCTATTGTTTGGCAATCTGAAACGACTCACAAAAATTGAAACCTATTCCAAATTGCTTTTTGGGTCAAAACCAAAACATTGAATGATCTACGTGGATTTAAATCAACAGTTCAAAAAAGTGGTTTTCGTTGAGTTCAACTGATTTGTTGTTCATCCCTAAGTAAAACTAATGAAAAATTCATTTGCAAACTTTAACTCTCAACTATCATTTGAAGTGAATGAACTTATTTATTTGAATGGTTGTAACTTTAAGTTAAATATGCTTTTAATTGTTGACTTTTATTTTAGTCAAAAATTTCCCCCACTTTTCACAATGCCTCATAAAATGTAGAATTTGTTTTTATATTAGTTTGAGCAAATTATCCTCAAATTTGTTGTAAAATTTAATGAATAATGGATTTTGTTGTGTGGAAATTATTTGGTTTTCCATTTAAGAAAGTGTGTGTTTGATTACATTTATTTTCCATGAAAAATATCAGTTTTTCATCCAAATTCTTACTTGGGTGTTTAATTGTTATTTTTTCCATTGAAAATATTTTCCAACTTTTGAAAATATGTCTAATTTTCCTTGTTTTCAAGAAAAATATTTTTTTGCGGGGGGCGGGGGGGTTTGTTTTTCTCGAAACGTTTTCTTTTCTAGGCGACATTTTTCCAAGCCAATCAAACAAACTTTAAGGCCATGTTTGATTGGTTCGAATTCCATGGAAAATGGAATTCAAATTCCACTTTCTTCCAATTTTGTGTGTTTGATAGTTATTTTTTTCCCATGGAATTTGGTTTTCTTGCTGTTCTTGGAAGTTGGAATTTTCTTGGTTTTCTAGGGTACTATTACGATTTTTTTCTTTGCAATGGAAACAAATTCTATTCGTAATTGTAAATAAATATTTTCTTTTAATTCATAATTTACATGTAAAACAAAGCCAAACGAACATCAAAAGATAGATGATTTTTTTCATAAACATAATTTTAATGGAATGTAGCGAATTTGCAATTCAGAGATGGGCAGGTAGGAGTATTAAGGCTCGATAGGCTTACTTGTTGCTTAAATTCAAAATCTCGATATGTTTGGCAATTGGAAAGTATTAGTTATGGAATATGGGCAATTATTTAATTATGTTTTGTACTTTTAAGTATTGTTGTCGTCTGATTAATGAATAAATACTCATGAGTACATTGTATTGAGGCGTGAGTTTTTAGCTGTATTTGAAATACAAATCATTTCCATTGATATTATTGTTGATTATGCTTCTAAAAGCGGTATATTGCAACATTCAGCAAGTGTATGTTGCTAAGACAACATTTTTTTAATAAATGTTGCTAATACACCATTTTGCAACATTCGATGTCTGTCGTCATTAAATTTTTTTTGCAGCCTGCAATACGCGTTGCTATTAATGTTTTAGCAACGTACAATGTGTGTATCATGATATCTTGCATAATTTTTTACAGTTGGCCGAAAAATTTTAAAATTTATTCTTGGAAGGTTTAGAAAAAATGCACTTTGAAAAAGTCAAAGGAAAGACTCGGAAGACTAAAAAATGTAGACAAGCTAGAAACTCGAAAAATATATATATAAAAATAAAAATAAAAAGAGGAAGAAGACTTGAAAGACTTTAGGAAGATGGTGTCGATGTCGGGAAAAAGAGATTTTGGGAGGAGACAAAATTATTGTAAGGAATTGTTATAAGGTAAGAATTTTGACTCCAAACCCTAATGAAGTCCAATTTTCACATTTTAAGCGGTTTGATGGTGTGAAACGACCCATGAAATTGAAACTTATACCAAATTGCTTTTTGGGTCAAAATCAAAACGTTGAAGGATCCACGTGATTGAACTTATTTATTTGAATGGTTGTAATTTTAAGTTAAATATGCTTTTAATTGTTCGCTTTTAGTTTAGTAAAAAAATTAATTAATTTTTTTCCCCATTTGTCACAATGCCTCATAAAATGTAGAATTTTTTTTTATACTAGTTAGTGCAAATTATCCCTGAACTTGTGTGAAAAATTTGATGAATAATGGATTTTGACTCGTGGAAATTACTCGATATACTTTTTCCTGTTGTTATATTTTTTCTTTTTTAATTTCCTTTTCCATAAACATAATCTTAATGGAATGTAGCAAATTTGCAATTCAGAGATGGACAGGTAGGAGTATTAAGGCTCGATAGGCTTACTTTTTGCTTAAATTCAAAATCTCGATATGTTTGGCAATTGGAAAGTATTAGTTATGGAATATGGGCAATTATTTAATTATATTTCGTACTTTTTAAGCATTGTTATTGTTTGATTAATGAATAAATACTTGCAAGTAACTGAATTGTAATGAGGCGTGAGCTTTTCCCTAAATTTGGCATTCAAATCACTTCGATTGAGGCGTGGTTCACGTGTTGAGAGTTAGTTGCGCAATTGGTCCAAACGTGTCCGACCCCACATGAGTGAAGAAATTGTGGAATATGGTCCGTACAATAGAACAAGGGCGAATTTGTGGTAATTTAAATTCAATTCAGAACTCACACATGCAATAAGGCCCACCCTGAATTGACAGGGAAAAAAATGCATTTATGGGGGTTCAAACAGGGCTGAGGAAAAGTATTCCTTGACAAGCTCAAATACAAATTAGTGGGCCTTACCGCTGGGGAGGAAAAATGAAAAATAAAAAAAATAAAAAAACCAGTTTTTTGCTACGTTATTCATTTGGATTAAACATAAACAAGAAGCTAATGATGATGCTCAAGAATTTAAATTCAATTCACATAAACATAAACAATGTGGTAATTCTAGTGTTGATGTGAGGAAAAAATGGATTTTCGACAATGACGAAATTATTGTAAGGAATTGATATGAGTCAAGAATTTTTGACTCCAAACCCTAATGACGTTCAATTTTGTTTGTGTATATATATTCACATTTTATTTTTTTCCATTTATTTTGGTAATTTTCGTTTTTCCTATTGTAATATTTGTTCTTTTCTAACTTCCTTTCTCATAAACATAATTTTAATGGAATGTAGCAAATTTGAGATTCAGAGATGGACAGGTAGAAGTAATAGGGCTCGACAGGCTTACTTGTTGCTTAAATTCAAAATCTTGATATGTTTGGTAGTTGGAAAGTGTTAGTTATGGAATATGGGCAATTATTTAACTATGTTTTGTACTTTTTAAGTATTGTTATTGTTTGATTAATGAATAAATACTTGTAAGTAACTCAATTGTATTGAGGCGTGAGTTTTTCCCTTTATTTGAAATACAGATCACTTCCATTGATATTATTGGTGATATCTTCTCAAACTTTTTACAGTTGGCCGAAAAATTTGAATAGTTATTCTTGGAAAGTTTAGAAAAAATGCACTCTGGAAAAGTTAAAGGAAAGACTCAAAGGACTAAAAAAGACAAGTTAGAAAGTTGAAAAAATTTAAAAGAGGAAGAAGACTTGAAAAAACTTTATATGGCAGTCTAATTGATACTGGGAAGATGGTCCCATTCAATTTCCTGTATGCACAATGTACACATGTTGACGCGTGGGCCCCCCCATGTGAGGGTGTCAACGTGTGTACTGATTTAATCCATTCAAATATTGCTGCTTTTACTGATTTATGCAATTTAAACTAAAATCACAAGTCCCTATTTATATTATTGGCTTTAACAATTGCTCATATCCAAATGGAGAAAGCTATAATCCTAACCATATCATTCTTCCTTTTGATAATCTATTGTTTTGGGTTCCCAATTTCATCTGTTGACACCCTTAAACCTGGGGATAGTCTAGATTCATCTTCTTTTTTAGTTTCTGCAAACAATGTTTTCACTTTAGGATTCTATAAGCCCATGAACTTCATTAACAATGACAGTTATTTGGGAATATGGTACACAAATTCTACTTTACATGTATGGCTTGGTAGCGGAATGAAACCTATTACGGATGATTCTGGCATTCTCTCAATAAATAGTGCTGGAAAACTTATTCTAACAAGCAACATATCAGATCCGATTGAGGTGTATGCAAGCGGAAATGGCGCAAATATAACAGCCACTCTGTTGAATTCGGGGAATTTTGTAGTGAGAGAGATGAACATAAATGGTTCTCCGGGCAGGATTCTGTTGGGAAGCTTTGATTATCCAACTGATATTCTTCTTCCGGGGATGAAATTAGGTGTCAATCATAGTACTGGAAGAAATTGGCATCTTACATCATGGTTTGGCAAAGACAATCCCGCTTCAGGAGCTTTTACGTTGGAATGGGATCCAGGCACACGTATGTTGATTGTACGACGACGAGGGCTGATTTATTGGACCAGTGGCAACTTGAAAGACTATACTAATCAGAGCTTGAGATTGAATGTCAAGGAATTTGAGAATATACCTAAACCCGATTTTGAAGATTTCAATTACAATTTCACCAATGTTTCAAATGGTGTGGAGGATTACTTCAGCTACTCCCTTATAAAGGACCCGACATTTGTATGGGAAACTATTTCTGGATGGCAGCTGAAATATAACGGGGATATAATTGACATTTTTCATGGGGCAATGATAGCAGAAGTGAGCCTTTGTTATGGTCACAGCATTAAAGGATCTTCTGTTTACAAAGGCTGTGAATTATGGGAGCAGCCCAGTTGCAGGAATCATAACGAGATATTTGTTTTGAAATCAGGGCATTTCGCTAATGGAAATGGGAAAGAGGCAGCTGCAGATTTTGATGATAATTATAGTCTTACTAAGAGTGACTGCAGAGAGAAATGCTGGCATGACTGTGAATGTTTAGGCTTTAAAGGCGGAGATGGATATGGATGTATATACTGGAAAGGGAAAAATTTGACTTTTGTACAGAGTTATAATGGTTCAGAACCTAAACAATTCGTTCTTGTTCTAGAGGCTTCAACCGAAAGTAAGTTCATAGCACCAAATCAAGAAATTTTCAACATATGCACACATATCTTTACTTCAATTCCTCTGTTTGGGGTTCAGAATCCCTTTATTATTATTATTATTATTATTATTATTATTATTATTATTATTATTATTATTATTTAGTTAAATAAACTTCTTTTCATTGAGTTTTGATTTTTTGCAAAAGAAATTTCTTCGGACTAAATATGTTGAAGATACATAAAGCACTATGCAGGTCAATAAATCTACTTCCCTTTTCCTCTATTGTTGACGTCTGATAGAACTGCTGGAAGGACTGTGAATGTGTAGGCTTTATCAGTAGATATGACTTTAGATGTTTATACTGGAAAGGGAAAAATTTTACTTTTGTACAGAGTTTTGATGGTCGGCACCTAAACAATTCGTTCTTGTTTCAGAGTCTTCAAACAAGACAGAGCTCCCAACCAAAAGTAAGTTCATATCACCAAATCAAGAATTTTTCAACATATGCACACATATCTTTACTTCGATTCCTTTGTATGAGGTTCAGAATTTATTTGTTTTTTCAATAAATTTCTTTTCATTGAGTTTTGATTTTTGGCAAAAGAAATTTCTTCAGACTAAATATTTTGAAGATATATAAAGCACTATGCAGGTCAATAAATGTACTTCCCTTTTCCTCTATTCTTGACGTGATAGAACTGCTGGAAAGACTCTGAATGTGTAGGTTTTATCGATAGATATGACTATAGTTGTTTATACTGGAAAGAAAAATTTTTTACTTTTGTACAGAGTTTTGATGGTTCTGCACCTAAACAATTCTTTCTTGTTTCAGTGTCTTCAAACAAGACAGAGCTCCCAACCAAAAGTATGTTCATATCACCAAATCAAGAATTTTTCAACATATGCACACATTCCCTTAATTCAATTCTTCAGAATCCTTGTTTTCTAAAAATAAATTTGAAGATATATAAAGCGATTTGCGGGTCAATAGATGTTCTACCCTTTTCCTCTATTCTTTACATCCCATAGAAGCATTTCTCTTTTAGCAATGTGTTTACTATCATCAAATGATAAATAACAGGATGGAAGTCATGGAAAATCATTACTTTGGTTATTTCGGTAGTTGCACTTTTGTTGGGCTGTGTATGGTTCATCATCCGAAAAATTGAACAAGGTATCTTTCTGATCACTTGTAGCTTTGAAAAACCTTCTTCGTATTCCATACAAATAAAATACCCATAACAAAAATTGACGAGCTGGAGAAGAAAAGATTGTAAAGAAAGTTCTATGTGTTTCTTATTTGATGTTATGTTGATATTTTTTTTTCATACAATTTCACTTCAATAGAATGATTGGAAATATGATTACAAAATACAGTAAGATTCATTTCAAGAGTTGTAGTTGCACTGTCATTTTTTATGTAGTGAGTATTGCAATTGTAATAATATGTCGCTCATATAGAATAGAACACATATGTATTGGAATAGATAGGGTCTCGTTGGAGCATAGCAGAGTGAAGTGAGGAGAGTGGATATATAACAAGTGGAAGTGTTAAAACAATATCTCTACATGGTGCGTTTTGTAAATATCATTGAGAATTTTAATATCTCCATTGCTTGCTTATTTTGATATTTCTAGTTTTTCTAGTTCTAATTCTCCTAATGATATTCATTGGCATTCTTATGTTGACACTTTGGATGTTCATCTCATAGGTAAAAGGAAGAAGGAAGAATTACGTGAACTGATGACCCTAGATGAATATACTGAAACACATGCTATTGAAAGTAATAGGGGACAGGGTTATCATCTTAGATTGTTTATGTATTCCTCTATCCTTGGAGCTACAGGCAACTTTTCATCGACAAACAAACTTGGAGAGGGTGGTTTTGGCCCTGTTTATAAGGTAAATTTGAATTGAGAATATTATTTTTGGCCCTGTTTATAAGGTAAATTTGGATTGAGAATATTATGTGTTCTTTGAATAGGATCAGCCCTTTGGAGCTTCAAGTAGCATTGAGAAGGCATTTATTGATCATTGCTGCAAAAATACTCTTATTGCCTTTTCTCCTTCTTAGCCATTGTCCTCGATCTTACTTTGTTAGGACACATCAACTTTATCCTATGTTTAGTTTAAGTTTCTAAACTATTTGTAAACGCTCAGTTTATTTTATATCCTCACATTTTGAAGGACTCACAAGTATTACTTACATTTTCAACATTCATTTCTTTGTATTTATGATTTAATGTTGATAAACACTTACCATACATGTTCACTCTGCAACTATTTCTTCTTTTGATAAATATATTAGTGTTGCATCAATATAAATATGGCATAGCCACTCCTATTAGTAGCATCCACTAATTTAATAATAAATAAAGTATGTGTTTATATATGATTACAGGGAAAAACCTTCGAAGGGCAAGAAATTGCAGTAAAGGTACTCTCACGAAGGTCAGTTCAAGGGTTGCTAGAGTTCAAAACTGAACTAATACTTATATCCAAAATCCAACACGTAAATCTTGTCAAATTATTGGGTTTCTGCATCCATGGAGATGATAAGATGATCATCTATGACTACATGCCTAACAAAAGCTTGGACTTCTTTCTCTTTTGTGAGTATCGTCTACTTCCTCCAGGATATTTACTTACGACACATTTTCAAGTTATAGTGACGGGTTTTTCAAAAATATGTTATGATTGACACAGAAATAAGCAATCAACAGACATTTCAATTGAAGAATAATGAGTTAATTTTGTTCACAAACGCATATTTTAAAATGGAATTTTTATACCCCGAGTTCAGAAACATAATTGGAGTCAACAAAATTTGTATTTTCTGGTATGATAAGGAAAATTCTAATTTTATCTTTATTTGTTTAGATTAAGTAAGTTTTACTTCTTATTAGTTCAAATATATACTTGTAGCAATATTTAAAAAGACTTTATTACGTACTGAGATGTTTTGTCTAAATGAAATGTAATCCTCGAGGCACTTTGAGGCGTGAGCCCCAATATAAAACAATAAAAGAATTCAAAAGAATATAAAAATGTGCTCATAATAAATTATGAACGTCCCTTTCAAAAATTCATAATAAAACTAATTAACAAAATTAAAAGTCTAACTTGTAATGAACATAAAATAAATCAAGAAAATAAGAGATAATAAATCCCCAAATTAGTAATTATGTAACAAAATTATGACCGCTAATTTTTTATATGATCTCTAATAATGTGATCACCATCTTTATAAGTTTATTTGAAAAACCTAAGGCAAAAATTTGAACACTATAGTTGGTTTGATGCGTAAGCCTCACTAAGTCAAGATATAAGCCTCAATAAAACGAGATACTAAGCAAATATTGAACATGACAGGTCCAGCTAAGAGGGAGCTCTTAATTTGGGATGCACGTTTCACTATCATTGAAGGGATTGCTCAAGGATTGCTCTATCTTCACAAATACTCGCGATTACGGATAATTCATAGGGATTTGAAAGCTAGTAACATATTACTTGATGAGAAAATGAACCCCAAAATATCTGATTTTGGAATGGCAAAAATCTTCAAGCAAAATGTGATAGAAGCAAATACAAATAAGTGTGCTGGAACATAGTAAGTAATGAAGAATATTTCTTTTTCATATTGCCTGCTAATAATGTATATATAATTTAAGCTCAAGGCTCATTACCAGCGAATTAATGCTTTCATGATTTCACAGTGGTTATATGGCTCCTGAGTACGCGATGCAAGGTATTTACTCTATCAAATCAGATGTCTATAGTTTTGGAGTTTTAGTACTTGAGATTGTGAGTGGTCGAAAAAACAATAGCTTCCAAAATGAAGACGGTCCTCTCAATTTAGTAGAATATGTAAGTTAACTTATGATCAATTTTTAGATTCAAATTTCAGTTTTTCTTTGTACTTAGATTTTGTGTAAAATTGTTGCAGGCTTGGGAACATTGGAGTAACGGTGCTGCAATCGAGGTCGTGGATCCAATGCTAAAAAGTTCATGTAGCCATATAGATCAATTGAAAAGATGCATTCATGTTGGTCTTTTATGCTTGGAAAATCGTGCAACTGACCGCCCCACAATTGAGGATGTTATATCCATGTTAAAAAATGAAATGAAGCTTTTGCCAATGCCAAACTGTCCAGCATTTGTCACTAGAAATAGTACAGTTTATGAACTTGAAAATGGCAGGTCTGAAAAGTTTTCGGCTGATGGACTCTCGATGTCTGCAATCGATGGAAGATAGTTAAACTCGAGAGCTACTCTTATTTGTTACACTGAGTATTCCATGATATTTCATGTCATTATTAAACTATGCAGCGTTTGAAAAATTCTACTTTAGCTATGCATTAAAGATATTTGTCTCCAATGTAATTATTGGTTTTCATGCATACATAAGTTAGAAGGAATAATAGTACATGAATTCAATTCATTGACTCATGCGAGGTAATCGAGAAGTAATGAATAATTTGTTCAAAAGGCTCCAAGTACATTATTTAATAAAAAATAACCAAGTTTACATTGAAACCAAGAGTCCCTATTCGAACAAAGAAGTCCTAGAAATGTAAAAAAGAAGCTATTTATTACTTTTCCCTCCCTCAATAAATAAGGCTAGAGGTTAATTGGTGTTGAAAGAGGATGTGAGGATACAAGGCAATATACAACTGACATTTTGAGGGAAGGTAGCATTATTGAGGATACAAGGCAATATACAACTGACATTTTGAGGGAAGGTAGCATTGATTTTGGAAAGAAGAATGATTTAGTGCAATATTATTAATACCAGCCGATTAGGGTGGGATTGGAATTGTGGAACAAAGAGCGTGATGCATAGAATTTGAGGTCATGTCATTCATTATGTTGCTAAAGAAGTTAACGCTATCGATTTTCATGTAGGATTGAAGTGGTCGGTCAAATTAGGTACGGATGGGGCACATATTTAGAAGTCAAATATGGATTATGGAAAAATGAAAGTTTGGATACCTATAAGAAATATCTAGTTAATTAGATATGTATGAGAAATATATTTAAAGTTCGAGTATGTATTTGAGAAAATTAAAAGTTTTTATACCTACAAAAAATGCTACTGAAAGTTGATGTACTGTTTTTTGGCTTTTTGTTAAACCTAAAAGACTACAGAAGCTAGAAAAGAGACATAAAAAGGAAAAATTATTCCCATCCCTAGAAATGAAGGAAAAACAGAAAATCTAAGGGAGTGTTCTCTTTGTGTTTCAATTTTGTGTTTTGAGTTTTGAATTCATTTTGAGTTTTATGTTTTGAGTGTTTATTTTGAAATTGTTGAAAATGCGTTCTTTTTGTTAGTTTCTCAAAACAAAAAATGAATTTTTTTTTTGAAATTTTGAGAATCACCACAACACCACCTCAAAACACCAAAAAAAAAAATAATAATAATTAATTTTTAATTTTTTTTGAAATTTTGAGAATCACCACACCACCTCCTCAAAAAAAAAAATAATAAAAAAATAAAAAAAGGTGTTTCCCGCATTTTCAATTTTTTCAAGTTTTACACTGAAAATGCCCAAAACAACAAAAAAGTCGTTTTGTGTTTTCTTCACAATTTTTTTTTTCATTTTTGAAAATTCGTTTTCAAAAACGGGAAAGAGAATACATTTTCACCGTTTTGAAAAATCGAAAACAGAAAACGGCCCGAAAACGGTAAAGAGAACAGGGCCTAAATAGTTTTCCTTCCATCATTCTGATATTTTCGTAATTTTATCTACATTTTCATCAAGTCCATATTTACATTCAACGCAATATTTTCTTTTCAGTGATTGTTTGTTTATTTTTTTGTAGATAAAAGATAAAATGAAAATCAATCTCGAAAGAATATAAATTTTATGTTCTATAAATAAGGCTACTTTAATAAAAGTAAATACGTAAATAACTAGTACTCATGGATTCAGCACTTTATTGTCATTATGTTACTTATATACAATATCCAGAAATAATTCTGACAACATTGAGTAGGAAGATAATTACAACAATAAACAAAAATCAAAGTAACGATATTTTTGTGCGACAGAGGTTAAAAAAGAAAAAACATTTCATGAAATACAGGGAATTTATTCTTGTAACATAAGGGGGAAAGGAAAGAAAATTCATTCTGCAAACACACAAAAGACAGGATGAAGAGCGGTTTTATTCATATAATTGCTCCCAGCAGCAATAGCTCAGATTCTGCAGGCGCGCTTCTATTTTTCTGAACATGTGAATTGGATTTCTTAGAGACACAAAAGCATATATGTGTCACAAAAATTCACGTAATTCTTATTCTCCAAAATATGCTAGTGAGAATCGACACACGACAAGGACAATCTTCCCAGTGACTAAATTTATCAATAATAATGGAATACTAAAAGTCTTTAAAGTCTTAATTTTACATTATTTATGTCTTTCCATTGAGAAGAAATAAAAAATAACAAAAATAAGTGCAAGTACGACAAATGAATTTAAGTGGTTTGGCAATCGTGCCTACATCCACAAAATCACACCAATTTTTCACTATATCAAGAAGAGAAGAAGAGGAATACAATAATACACTCTTTGTATTTTATTTGTCTGCATAAAGTTAAGTCTCTCAATTCTCTCTCATTTTAACTCTATGCACAATGCTACTTACTCTTTTTCTTCTCTCCTCTTCTTCATCAATTTTTATTTTTACACATAAAATTTACAGAGAAATATTAGGAGACATATTTACCAATTGCGTCTGCTAACTTTGAAAATGTGCTGCAATCGTATCTACTAACTCTTTCTCCTTTTGACTGTGCGTACCATTCATCTGCACAATGTCTGCCTGCCAATTTGAGAGTGAAAAAATTCTCATTATTCATGAATAGTGCACTCACTATTCAACTTTGAAAATGTTTCCTGCAACTTTTGAAAAATTTGAGGTCTATACTAGGCTCCACCATTCAACATTTAGTACCAATTAACATCATTGACAGGCTACCATGTAATAATGACGGGCACATCAGAAACAAATAGATTGATTCGTAGAGTTTGGGATAATACATTTTATTTAGGGGTGGCAAATGGGCCGAGCGGTTCATCGACTTGCCCGCTCGACTCACGAAAATGGAGCTCGTGGGCGGCTCGAACTTGTAAAAACACAAGCCCGAGCGCGAGCTGAGCGGGCCGGTTCAGTGGGTGAGCTGAGCCCGCTCGGCTCGCACAAAAAATGAGCCGCTCGCGGCTCAACTCATTTGGAGGCTCGTGGCTCGTTGAAAAACAAGCCACGAGCCGGTCTAGTTTGGAAATGTGACCGTTTCGGTCACTCTTTTAAACGGTCACTGACTTTTTGTCAGTGACCGTTTCAGTCCCTCATTTAAATTTTTTTTCTGTTTTTGACCGTTAATAGTCACTGAATTTTTTCAGTGACCGTTTTGGTCCTTAAATTTAATTTTTTTCTATAAATAGTGGCATTTAGCCACAATTTTTTTTACAATTCTCTCAACTTTCAATTATCTTTCTCTCAAGTTTCTTGTATTGTGTTGATAACTTGCATTTTCTATATACAATTTATACAATATCCAATTCTCATTTCTCAGTTCTCACTATATTTATTAAAATTTCATCCAATTTTCATTTCTCACTACATTTATACAATTATTCTTCTACTAGTTATTACTTATTACAACTAAACAAATGGATCCACGCTAATTTGTCGAAAACTTGTTCGGCGTGGAAGGAAACGAATCGCCTATGACACCGGAAAGTCAATTTCAGAATATATTTGAAGGTCTAAATGACGTACTCCTACCTGAAAATATTCCAGATTTGGATATTCATCATCATGTAAGCGGCAATCCAAATTATCCGATTAATTTGGATGATGTTGACGTTCCCGAAGAGGAACATGATCAGGAAGAAGATATTGAATTAAACATTCCTGATGCGAGAGGAAAACGAAAGGGGAAAAAACAAGCAAAATGTTGGAATCACTTTAAGTTGATTTCAACGGGAAAAATCGTCAATGGAGTCCAAGAATTCAAAGCAGTATGTAAATACTGCCAACAAAGATTGACATGGCAAAGAGGAATTGGTACCACCCATCTCAACCGTCATTACAAAATATGTGCGGCCAAACACGGACTTATTACAAGCTGTCAACCACAATTGCAATTTGGCAGTCCAAACGCCAGTGGTTCTACTGCACCCCTATCCACATGGGTGTATTCGGAGGAAAAAGCTCAAACCGGAATGCTGAAACTTGTTGCTGGTGCTGAGTTGCCTTTGACATTAATTGACAACCAACACTACGTCTCATATGTGAAAAAATATCTACAGCCAAGGTACGTTGGGGTAAGTCGAAACACTTTTCGTTCTGATACAATACAGTATTTTACTTCAACAAAACAACAATTAATTATGGATTTGCAAAAATATGGGGGTGTCATATCTTTAACTTCATATATATGGAAAGAGATTAATAAAATAGCATATATAGCTGCAACTGTACAGTATATAGACCCATTTTGGTGCATGCATAAAAAAATTATTGCTTTTAAAATTATTGAGTTTCCTCACAATGCTAATAATATATTTAATGCTATTATTAGTATTGTTAGAGAATATCATTACGAAGGTAAAATTCGTTCATTTACTTTCGATAATGCTAGTGTTAATAAAGTAGTTGCTGAAAAATTGCATAGGGTACTACAACCTGATTTTGGTGGGTATTTGTTTCATATTCGTTGTTTATGTCATATTTTGAATTTAATTGTCCAAAATGGTTTAAAATATATAAAGGATGAACTTCAAAATATTAGGAACACACTAATATATATCACAATCTCTCCAAGTAGAAAATAAACATTTGAGGATTATTGTGCCGAAATAGGAGTGCAAAATGCTAAAACATTTGTTCACGACGTAGGTTATATGTGGAACTCTACTTACTTATTATTAAAGTCATGTGACGGTTTTGAATATTTAATAACTGACTCTTATAACAATAGACATGTTAGAAGTGATGACGAGGGTATGTTGACTGAACGTGATTGGTATTTAGCTTTGAAAGTTAAAAAATTTTTGATATCTTTTTATGAAACCACTAAGATTTTATCGGGCGTTTACTATCCCACCAGCTGTATGGTGCTTGAACGTCTTTATATAATTGCAAAAATATTTCATAAATACAGAAATGACCCTGATTTTAGTGAAATTATAATTACTATGGAATTAAAATTTTGAAAATATTGGAAAGATTTGCCTATGTTATTTTCTTTAGCATGCGTGATGGACCCTGATATAATTTATCGGGAACTAAATATATAATTGATCAAATTTCAAACGCTTTAACATTTGATATACCTATCACATATAGAAATTTAGAGCAAACATTATGTAAAATGTATGCATTATATGTGAACCGAATGGGTACCAATATTAGTCGGGTACCATCTGCACCTACTCCTTCCACTGAAATTGAAGAAGAAGATGCGAAAATATTTAATTTATTTCAAGGCATTAATTCATATAGATTTTATTCATCTGCAATGTGTTCATCTATTACCACTGCCACTGCCATGTCATCACCATCTGTATCTCATTCTCATCATACATCTACGGGCTCAAACCATAATGCATTGCCTGCTGAATTAATTGATTATTTCAACCAGAATATGCCAACAGATAAAACAATTAAAAAAAGTTCAGATGAAATAATTGAATTCTGACGAAGGTATGAACGACGTTAGCTAGTTATATCTGTGATTGCAAAAGATCTGCTGACACTTCCTGTTAGTACTATTGCTTCGGAGTCTGCTTTTACTACAGGTAAAAGAGTTTTGAGCGAGGTCAGGAGCCGACTGAAAGAAGATATTTTATAAGCGTTAATGTGCGTTAAGGATTGGCAGGACGCTCATTTTCGACTACAAGATAAATATGTCGAAATTGCATGTCGTCAAGTAAGTGATATTTGATTTAATTATATTGATGAAACTTTTCTTTTATTATCGTTACTTTTAATTTTCTTTAAAAAATTGTACACGCTACAATAAATTGTTCGTGTACAATTTTTAACTCCGCCTGCTGAAAATTTAGGTAGCCGATCCCAAGCCCAGATAAAGGAGGAGGCTTTATATTTCGATCGCGCAACTCGTACTTGCTGGTTCACAAGCTTGTTGACACGGTGATGTGTCAGTTTAACAAAGTCGGGACAAAACTGAAGCCATTTAAAAAACAATAAATCTGGGTCAAAAACTTAAACTGGCCCACTTAATCAGCAAACCCATTTTGTCATTTTCACTTGCACTATCATCCCCAAATCTTCAAAACCCTTGGAGGCGAAAATTGGTTTGAAGTCCATCACTCCACCTCAGCCGGAGTAAGAAACCTGCGGTTAATGTAGCAATCGTGTTCTTGTTTGGGTTTTCTAGCCTAGGCTAAGCTCGCGCTTGGTTTTTTTTTTTGTTTTTTAGCCGTAAACGAAAGCTCCAACTTGTGCAAATCGGTCGTCTCCGACGCCATCCATTACCTCCGACGGAATCTAGCAGCACATATTATGTAAGCATGATATATTTGGCAGTGGTAATTGTAAATATTGGGAATTGGTCGACAATGGAGAATCAAGAGGTGGATCAAGCAGCATTACTGTGAAATCGAATAATCATGTGGCTGTTGAAGAAGTTGAACACTTCTCTCACTTGTTCCAATCTTTTTGTCGGGTAGCAGAAGAAAAAAATATTGAAATTTCATTGAACATGACACTACGCAAGGCCAACGGAAGTGGGGATCTGTCTAGTGTAGGTGGTGAACTGTAAGGATGTTGGTGTTTATCTGGGTGACTGAATGTTGGTGTTCTGTCTAGTGTAGTTGGTAAATTTCCTAGTGTAGTATGTGCTCTATCTAGTGCTTGGCAAGTTGATGTAATTTTCATTCATTCCATCTCAGTAATGTTAATTTGTGTTCTTGACTCTAGTATTTGGCAAGTTGAATAAATTGTGTTCTTCACTCTAGTGAACTGTAGTAATGTTTGGGTGACTGTATGTTGGTGTTCCTGCATCATTCTTGCCCATTTTATTGGATGATAGTGAGCGTAAGAAATTACTCATGCTGAGACTATTTTCTCTGTTAGACATTTTCTAGTTGGGGTTGATGGCAGGCTTGCTGGGGCTTCAAGTATTTTCCATAAGAAATTAATCAAGCCATGTGTTTATCATGGAGTCATGTCTAGACTGCCAATGTAAACCAGTAGATAGTAAGAGTAACTATACAAACACTAAGATTATTACATTATTAATTCCATTGTTCATGTATTCCATCATCCAGTTCACCATTGTGCCTGTATTGATGCTAACTGTGTACGCCAATCATACATGCATAATTTCATAAACTAAATTCATATATCGAAAGGAAAGATATAGCTATCACATATATAACGAAGGAGAGGTAGAAGATGCTTCCATTGTAACTTCATTAACTATTATACATTTCCATAAACATCATCCTGAGTTAACAAAATTTTGCAAATAGGATAAACATTTTTTTGAATGATGCTATTGCTAATGATGAAAAAAAATAATATTAATAAAAAAAAGAAAATTGGTAGGCTCTATTGTGGATGACCATGAGAACCTCCAAGACCTCAATTTTTCCATCCAAAATCACATATTTGCGCCATGTTGGTAAGGTGCGTTTGGATAATGGTACGGCATACCATTTCCTGTCAAATAATAAATTTATTAAGCAAACTGGAGTATGATTTCAAATAAATTACGTATGTTTAACCATATACCTTGACCATTGAATACAACACTCATTGAAGCCGACTGGAAGAAATTTGGAGTCATTCCTTGTTGTGTAAATACATGACCGTCGCTGTCACCCTACACAATATCACAATGTAACTAAAACATGGAAATCAAATGCATTTATAAATTGAATTAGACGAACCATTAGAAGTTGTGAATATGAGATCGGTGCAGGCATTTGTTCATTCATTGCTTGATCATTTGCTTGTACGATCGGTTCGTTCTCTCCTAGTTTACTTTGGCCTGACGTCCATCTCTTTCCCTGGGGTGGATGTGACTGCGTCAGCAACAAATAATAAATACACATATACAATAGGAGTAAACAAAAAATGGAAACATACCTTTGCTTTACTGGATGCTGATTCCAAAGAGCTTTTGTTTCGAAGTTTCTTCGGAGCCCCTTTTCTCTTTGAACATTTTGGATCCTGTATACCTAAATTACTGTTATGTTGTGACGCTCCACTATCCGACGCTATCTGAAATGCACTTCCACAACTCGACCCCATTGTCTTCAATACTTGTTTTTTGGATTCTATCCACTCCAGTACCTCATGGGTTTGATGATCGTCATTTATAGCCATGTCCGCAAGTGAAGCAAATGATTGACACATCTTGTCATATCTCAACTGGATAGGAGTACTACTTAAACCATCATAGTTCATTGCGACCTTGGTGTGGGCTCTACTTACATCTCTTCTCCATCTCCGTAATAAATAGGTGTCTGTCAATATCGTGATGTTATTACGGATAAGTACAGAGATCACGTGTCTGCAAATTATTCCTCTAAACTCAAATAAATGGCAACTGCAAACAATGTCACATTTCTGTCTTTCAAATGTCACAAAAAACTTCTGTTTCTTAACTCGATTATCAAGTATGACATTCTCCAAGACCTCATAGGTTGTCCCCGAAAAGCCCTCCGATGAAGATATAAGGTCACAATAAACCTTACCAATGAATTCATCCTGAACTTCCCTAAATTTTGATATGGTGTACACTTATTGAAACTGTTTCTCCAACTCGTACTTCGTTGCAGATGGTACCATTTGTGAGTATGATTTAAAATCTGCTTCAAACTCCTTCTCTACCTTTTTCCTTAATGCTCTCTCATATTGTTCTACAAATTGTTTTAGTGACGTCTTCGAGTGCACATAACCATCGAAGAACGCGTTCATACTTTCACTGCGCTGAGTGGTTGACATTCCCGCCCAAAAACTACTTTTTAAAAAGCAAGGTACCCAACAGCCTCTGTTCTCATACATTCTCCATAACCACTCATTATCATGCAAAGAATATCTATCAATCATAGCTCTCCAACCTTCTTCAAATATGTCAATAGTTTGAGAATCATATACCAATACGTGTATAGCAGAAAAGATCTCACCCTTATCAACGTGGTAACCAAATTTCTCTAGTAACTTCTTCAATATGTGCCATAAACACCATCTGTGTTTCATGTTTGGGAACACGATCTGAATTGCATTCTGCATGGCCCTATTTTGATCTGTAATAATCCCAATAGGAGCTTGGCCATGCATACACTCAAGCCAAGTTTTGAAAAGCGATACAAATGTTTCTGTATTTTCGTTTGATACCAACCCACAACCAAAGAGTATTGATTGTCCATGATGATTAACTCCAACGAAAGGAGCAAACGGCATGTCGTATTTATTAGTTAAGTACGTGGTGTCAAATGTTACAACATCACCGAACTCCTTATATGCTTGCCTACTCCTATTATCTGCCCAGAAAATATTCTTCAGCCGTAAATCTTCGTCTAAATCTATGCTAAAGAAAAAACCTGGGCACTTGGCCTGCATGTTCAAAAAATAAGTTTGAATTGCTGCGGTGTCTCCTGCTCCAAGTCTTAACCGCCTCACTTGTTCCACATAGTTTCGACAATCTTTTTCTATACAAGTCATATTTTCATACCCCCTTGCTTCTACGACTGCGGAGTTGTAGCTTTTGTGCAATGGAATCCCCGCCATATCATTCACATCAAGACGTCGTTTAACATAGGCAATTAATTCTCGATTGCAACGATATAACTTGGATTTCGAAGGACTCGTTTTATGATTGTGAATGAGATTGACTGTGTTAATCTTCCATATTCCACATGCATCTGTAGACGCAGTCATCCTAGCTTTGCAACCTGTCTGAATGGTAGCTTGTGGTTTTAAAGAACCACTTGTAGTACTACTTCTTCGCCCTTCACGGCTACACGTAAACACTACATATCTAACAATTCCATCATCATCCTTCTGTGAATTCCTTTCCCTAACTGGAAATCCAACGTTGTACGCATATTTCTTGTAAAAATTAAACATTTCATTTTCATCATTGAATTTCATACCCACCTCGGGCACAATCACACCGTTTGCTCCTTCAATTCCATCATCCACGAGGTTCACACTGTCCAAATTGTTATCATTTTCATCTTCTAATAGAATGACATCATCAACCTCTTAGAAATTTTCGTTGCCTGCAATAAAAAAAACCCAAGTACATGCTTAAAACTAATTCACAAAACAAATATTGAATTGAAATCATTCATCACAAAATAACCAATTTTGCAGCTTTTTTTTGGGGTTAATTCCCCCCTTCCCCATTTGAAAACTGGAAAACTGAAATCATCATTAACCCCATAGAAATCATCTATTCCCAAAATATGGATGATAACTAAAATCATCATCAACCTTTTTTTTTTTTCTTTTTTGGTTAATCAAGCTGTGACAAATCAACTATTCCCAAAATATTATAGTAATAACTGAGATTACTATAATAAGTAAATCAAAAAAACAAATTACAAAAATAATAAAAAGAACATAAAAAAAGTCATAATACAAGTGAGTGAAAAATGAGTTGACAGATTTCCTTGTAAAACAAAGTAGTCGAAAATGGGATTATGTTATAACATAGCAGCTATTTAGGTTTGTTCACTCTCAAGCAAACTTTTTCTATTGTAGTCTACTGTAACCATTGTTTCGGCATTTATATATCTCAAACAAGTTCTTTCTACCTTTGTCCGTCATCGAAGACGGCGATAGCTTGAAGCTAGAACAACTCTTTTTTACACTGCCGAATCTATGAAGATGACGGCAGCTTCAAGTCGGAATAGCTCTTTACCTTCAAGCCGAAGACGACGTCTTCTTGTATGGGAGGTAGGTTTCAATAATTGGGGCTAGAAAAATCGCGGGCAATGCGCTGGCTTATTTGAATTACCCGGTTTCATTAATTGGGGACAGCTTCTTGTATTGTTGCCCACTCCATCTGGGTCAAAAACATAAACCCACAACACCAGATTTTTTCTTTTTTCAAAATTCAAAAATTGCACCCTTTCCACGTCACAGTGTCATCCGACAGGTAAAGGTAAGGGTACAAATAGCTTTATTCTTTATATTTTATCTATTTTAAAAAGAAAAATAAAAAAATAAAGCTTTTCATATTTGTTTTTTCTTTCTCTTTTAGTTAAAAAAAATTACTTTTTTTATTTTTCAAATTACCTATTTGTTCTCTCTCATGAAAAAAAAAAAAAAAAAAACGAAGCTACTCCCGAGCAGGGCTCGGCTAGGCCACGAGCCTCGAGCCTCGAGCTCGTGGGCCGAGCCGAGCTCGCCCCTTTTGGACGAGCCGAGCTCGGCTCGACCCATTGATATCCCTAATTTTATCATATTGCTGAAGGGTTAATGTTGCCAACTTCCACGTAGAACCGAACTATGAGGATTGTAAACTAGTTAAATTATGTGGGGGTGAGAACGTGTTTAGAAGTTTGGAAAAATAAAAATAAAAAATAAAAAATTTGGATACCTGTAAGAAATTGAGTTAACAAATGCTCCCGTTTGGCCTTTATTTTTTTAAAATTTTAATGATTGGAATAATATTTTTTTGAAGAATGTATTGTTGAAAAAGAATGCAAAATTTTCAATCTACGTTCAATATTATTTTATGAAAGATTGTGATTGAAAATAAGAGAAAGCTAAAAAAATTGAAAGAGAATGAGGGTTAAACGGGATAGTGGTGTTATGTAAGTTCTTCTTTTTCTATTATTCTCCTTCATTATGTTGTTATATTACTACTTTTTAGGGATCGACTTATGGGTTTTTTTCGTTTTTTTATTTTTTTTTTTTCAGGGACTTATGGCTTCCATAGATACATGGTTTTTTTTTTCTTTTTTTTTTTTTAATTAAAACACTTGGAGCTTTTTGCACAAATTATTGGTTGCTTCTCATTTAACGTCACAGAACCAATAAATCATGATTACTTATTTTAGTCTTTCTCCCTTGTGTCTGCATTACAGATTAACACCAATAATTACATTGGACACAAATATCTATAATGAATAGCAAAAGTAAGAATTTTTCAAAAGTAACATGGTTTATATAATAGCTTGAAATATCATAGAATACTCTTTTAGTGTAACGAATAAGTCTAGCTTTCAAGTTTCACTATCTTTCATCAATTGCAGACATCGTCTATTTTATGTTTATTATAGGTTAGACATTTAATTTAGCAAATTTTTAATCAAACCTCCACAAGGCAGGAGTATTTATTAATATGGACAATAAAAGAAACAAAAACTTCGAACGAGGACATTCAAAGTAATCTCCATTAAATAAAATGATAAGGGAAAAAAATGATAGTCCGTAGACTAAGTCCCTGTTCGATTCAGGTTTTTAACTTAATTAAAGATTATAATTATAATCAACAATTAATTTTGAGCATATATTTAACGAAACACAACTTTTTAACCACACATTTTATCAAATTTCATCAAAATTTACTAAAATATGGGTTAGGTGCGTTTGGGGAAAGCTTTTCTAAAATTTGAAAGTATGTTTTGATTTCATCAACAAAACCCCCCCCCCCCCGCCCCGCCCAGCAAAAAAAGAAAAAGAAAAAAAAAGAGCTTTTGAGAGTTATTTAAGAGAAGAAGAGAAATACAACAAAACACTTTTTGCATTTTATTTGTCTGCGTAGAGTTGATCTCTCTATTTTTTCTCGTTATAACTCTATGCACAATGCTACTTACTCTTTTTCTTCTCTCTTCTCTTCTTCATCAATTTTTATTTTTACACATACAATTTATAGAGAAATATTAGGAGACATATTTGCCAATTGCGTCTGCCAACTTTGAAAATTTGCTGCAATTGTATCTACAAATTCTCTCCCCTTTTGACTGTGCGTACCATTCATCTGCACAATGTCTGCCCACCAATTTGAGAGTGAAAAATTCCTCACTATTCATGAATAGTGCACTCACTATTCAACTTTGAAAATGTTTCCAGCAACTTTTGAAAAATTCGAGGTCTATATTAGGCTCCACCATTCAACATTTAGTACCAATTAACATCATTGACGGGCTACCATGTAATAATGATGGGCACTTCAGAAACAAAGAACTTGACTCGTAGAGTTTGGGATAATACATTTTATCATATTGCTGAAGGGTTAATGTCGTCAATTTCCACGTAGAACCGAACTGTGAGGATTGTAAACTGGTTAAATTATGTGTGGGTGAGAACATGTTTGGAAGTTCAGGGAAAAATAAAAAATTTGGATACCTACAAGAAACTGAGTCAACAATTATGCTTTTTACCCACTCTTTCAAATCTTAAATCTTTCTTTCAAATCACACTGGCGTTATGTAGGGGTGGCAAATGGACCGAGCAGCTCGTCGACTCGCCCGCTCAGCTCGCGAAAATGGAGATCGTGGGTGGCTCGGGCTCGTAAAAACATGAGCCCGAGCGCGAGTCGAGTGGGCCGGTTCAGTGGGCGAGCCAAGCCCACTGGGATCGCAAATTAAACTATCCCACGAGTTGGGCTCGGTTATAAAGTGACCGAAACGGTGATCACTTTTTTAGTGATCGTTGTCAGTGATCGTTTCGGTCCCTGAAAAATTAATTTATTTATTATTTTTTTCAGTGACCGTTTAGATCCTTTAATTTTTTTATTTATTTTTTTTCCCTCTTCTTCTTCTATAAATAGTGGCATTTAGGTGCAAAATTTTCTACATTTCACTCTCAACTCTCTTGTGTTGTGTTGATAGTTGTGCAATTTTTAGATACAATTTATACAATATCAAATTCTCATTTCTCAGTTCTCACTATATTTATTAAAATTTCATCCAATTTTCATTTCTCACTACATTTATACAATTATTCTTTTACTAGTTATTACTTATTACAATTAAACAAATGGATTCACGCACATTTGTTGAAAACTTGTTTGGTATGGGAGGAAACAAATCGCCTATAACACCGCAAAATCAATTGTGGAATCAATTTGAAGGTCTAAATGACGTGTCCCTACCTGAAGATATTCCAGATTTGGATCTTCATCATCATGTAAGCGGCAATCCAAATTATCCAATTAATTTGGATGATGTTGACGTTCCCGAAACGGAGCAGAATCAGGAAGAAGAGGTTGAATTAAACATTCCTGATACGAGAGGAAATCGAAAGGGGAAAAAACAAGCAAAATGTTGGGATCACTTTAAGTTGATTTCAATGGGAAAAATCGTCAATGAAGTCCCAGAATCCAAAGCAGTATGTAAATACTGCAAAAAGGATTGGCATGGCAAAGAGGAATTAGTACCACCCATCTCAACCGCCATTACAAAGTATGTGCGGCCAAACACGGACTTATTCTAGGCTGTCAAATACAATTGCAATTTGGCAGTCCAGACGCCGGTAGTTATGCTGCACCCCTATCCACATGGATGTTTTTCGAGGAGAGAGCTCGAACTGGAATGATGAAACATGTTGCTGGTGCTGAGTTGCCTTTGGCATTAATTAACAATTAACACTACGTCTCATATGTGAAAGAATATTTGCAGCCAAGATACGTTGGGGTAAGTTGAAACACTCTTCGTTCTGATACAATACAATATTTTACTGAAACAAAACAATAATTAATTATGGATTTGCAAAAATATGGGGGTGTCATATCTTTAACTTCGGATATATGAGAAGGAATTAATAAAAGAGTATATATAGCTGCAACTGCAAATTATATAGACCCACTTTGGTGCATGCATAAAAAAAATTATTGCTTTTAGAATATTGAGTTTCCTTACAACGCTAATAATATATTTAATGTTATTATTAGTATTGTTGGAGAACATCATTGCGAAAGTAAAATTTGTTCATTTACTTTCGTAATAAAGTAGTTGCCGATAAATTACATAAAGTACTGCAACCTGATTTTGGTGGTATTTGTTTCATATTCGTTGTATATGTCATATTTTGAATTTAATTGTTCAAAATAGTTTAAAACATATAAAGGATGAACTTCAAAATATTAGAAACGCACTAATATATATCACAATCTCCCCAAATAAAAAACAAGCATTTGAGGATTATTGTGCCAAAATAGGAATGCAAAATGTTAAAATATTTGTTAGCGACGTAGGTCATAGGTGGAACTCTACTTACTTGTTATTAAAGTCATGTGAAGGTTTTGAACATTTAATAACTGACTTTTATTAGAATAGACATGTTAGAAGTGATGATGGGGGTATATTGACTGAATGTGAGTGGCAAATAGCTTTGAAAGTTAAAAGATTTTTTACATCTTTTTATGAAACCACTAAAATTTTATTGGGCGTTTCCTATCCCATCAACTGTATGGTGCCTGAACGTCTTTATATAATTGCAAGAACATTTCATAAATACAAAAATGACCCTGATTTTAGTGAAATTATAATTGCTATGGAATTAAAATTTAGAAAATATTGGTAAGACTTGCCTATGTTATTTCCTTTAGTATGCATGATGGACCCCCGATATAATTTATTGGGAACTAAATATATAATTGATCAAATTTCAAACGTCTTAACATTTGATACACCTATCACATATAGAAATTTAGAGCAAATATTATGTGAAATATATGAATTATGTGCGAACTGAATGGGTACCAATATTAGTCGAGTACCATCTGCATCTACTCCTTCCGCTGAAATTGAAGAAGAAGATGCGT